AATATAATAATTAATTCTCTCGTTTTACTAAATCGTACGCACAATATAATAATTAATTCCCTCGTTTTATTAAATCGTACGCACAATATAATAATTAATTCCCTCGTTTTATTAAATTGTACGCACAATATAATAATTAATTCCCTCGTTTTATTAAATCGTACGCACAATATAATAATTAATTCCCTCGTTTTATTAAATGGTACGCACAATATAATAATTAATTCCCTCGTTTTATTAAATCGTACGCACAATATAATAATTAATTCCCTCGTCTTATTAAATTGTACGCACAATATAATAATTAATTCCCTCGTTTTATTAAATTGTACGCACAATATAATAATTAATTCCCTCGTTTTACTAAATCATACACACGATATAATAATTAATTCCCTTGTTTTACTAAATTGTACGCACAATATAATAATTAATTCCCTCGTTTTACTAAATGGTGTGCACAATATAATAATTAATTCTCTCGTTAATCTAAATTGTACGCACAATGTACAATGTGGCCAAAATGTACTAAATCGAGGGAATGAATTATATCATGTGCACGATTTATTTGAATGAGAGAACGAATTATCATACGGTGCGCACGATTGACTAAAATGTAATTTTACAATATATTTATATTTATAATTTTATTTTAAATGTACTTTTATTTTGTGCTACAACCATTTAATTTCAATTGAGCAAGTTTTAATGCTACTAAACATATCAATCTGTTTTTAAATTTAAGTTCATTAATGAATAAAAAATGCGCAATTTAATTTCTTACCATTTAATTCCAACTTTTAATGCAACTCATAATATATATATATATGCAATCATACATTTCATGTTGGAATGAAATGGCATTTTTAAAAATTATGTATATTTTTTTATATACTTGTGTATATATATTTTTATATTTACCTGTGTGTGTGTGTGTGTGTGTGTATATATATATATATATATATGTTGTTTATTGATTTGTTGCTGAAATGATTTGTGTGAAACGCTGCTGGACTGAGAGAGGCGTGTGTGTGTAGCGGTTCATCATCATCGGTTCATGATGTTTGCTAGCGTTAGCGTGTTAGCATGCAGCGCTCACTCAGATTACGGTGTGCAGTGCTGTTGTGTAAGGCAATGACTCAGCATGTCTGGGATTAGGAGCACTTCCTAATAATACCCAGAGTGACTCAGAGTGTGTGTGTGTGTGTGTGTGTGTGTTCGGTCCGGCTCAGAGACGGTCATGAGATGCAGGCCTCAGGACACACCGGCTCAAAGCTTGTTTTTCTGAAGCATCTCTGCTTTAAACTTCAATATTAAAAGAGTTTTTGCCCCTCTAGTTTTTGCAACCAATCTCGTGGGAATTCTGTTTTGTTGGAGAATCTGTTAAGTTAATTATTAAAATCAGGGATGCATGATGTAACGGCCACCGTATCGGCCAATATATGTGTTTGTTTTTATCGTTATCGGCCGATATATTAAAGCCGATAAGTAATGTAATATTTCTCTTCAGATGCGAAATACCGTTCACAAGTCCATCATATACATCGTAATTGTGTGTTTGGAACGCGGCTTTCAATGCTGAGACTTTTGTTTTTGTAATCAGACTCTCAAAAACGATATAAAAATGTGGATTTAGATTTATCGGCCGATATATCGGTTATCAGCTTTCAAGTATAAAGAATTATCGTATCGGCCGAAATGTTCATATCGGTGCATCCCTGATTAAAATATATTTTTCTTAGTAAAAATATATCTTTGTAAATATTGATATATGAATTATTAAATATATCAATTAGTTAAAAACATAAAACATTACTTGATTATTTAAAACTGCATTTCTACGATATTACAATGACTATTTAGTTAAAAAATTGAGTAAAAAATTTGCCCGTTTAGGCTCGTAATATTCCATTTAACATTATCGCCAGCCTAAGGTTAAGCGTGTGTGTGTTAAGCGTGTGTGTGTTAAGCGTGTGTGTGTTAAGCGTGTGTGTGTTAAGCGTGTGTGTGTTAAGCGTGTGTGTGTGTTAAGCGTGTGTGTGTGTTAAGCGTGTGTGTGTTAAGCGTGTGTGTGTTAAGCGTGTGTGTGTTAAGCGTGTGTGTGTGTTAAGCGTGTGTGTGTGTTAAGCGTGTGTGTGTTAAGCGTGTGTGTGTGTTAAGCGTGTGTGTGTGTTAAGCGTGTGTGTGTTAAGCGTGTGTGTGTGTTAAGCGTGTGTGTGTTAAGCGTGTGTGTGTGTTAAGCGTGTGTGTGTGTTAAGCGTGTGTGTGTGTTAAGCGTGTGTGTGTTAAGCGTGTGTGTGTTAAGCGTGTGTGTGTGTTAAGCGTGTGTGTGTTAAGCGTGTGTGTGTGTTAAGCGTGTGTGTGTGTTAAGCGTGTGTGTGTTAAGCGTGTGTGTGTTAAGCGTGTGTGTGTTAAGCGTGTGTGTGTGTTAAGCGTGTGTGTGTGTTAAGCGTGTGTGTGTGTTAAGCGTGTGTGTGTTAAGCGTGTGTGTGTTAAGCGTGTGTGTGTGTTAAGCGTGTGTGTGTTAAGCGTGTGTGTGTGTTAAGCGTGTGTGTGTGTTAAGCGTGTGTGTGTTAAGCGTGTGTGTGTTAAGCGTGTGTGTGTTAAGCGTGTGTGTGTGTTAAGCGTGTGTGTGTGTTAAGCGTGTGTGTGTGTTAAGCGTGTGTGTGTTAAGCGTGTGTGTGTGTTAAGCGTGTGTGTGTGTTAAGCGTGTGTGTGTGTTAAGCGTGTGTGTGTTAAGCGTGTGTGTGTGTTAAGCGTGTGTGTGTGTTAAGCGTGTGTGTGTTAAGCGTGTGTGTGTTAAGCGTGTGTGTGTGTTAAGCGTGTGTGTGTTAAGCGTGTGTGTGTGTTAAGCGTGTGTGTGTGTTAAGCGTGTGTGTGTTAAGCGTGTGTGTGTTAAGCGTGTGTGTGTTAAGCGTGTGTGTGTGTTAAGCGTGTGTGTGTGTTAAGCGTGTGTGTGTGTTAAGCGTGTGTGTGTTAAGCGTGTGTGTGTGTTAAGCGTGTGTGTGTTAAGCGTGTGTGTGTGTTAAGCGTGTGTGTGTGTTAAGCGTGTGTGTGTTAAGCGTGTGTGTGTTAAGCGTGTGTGTGTTAAGCGTGTGTGTGTGTTAAGCGTGTGTGTGTGTTAAGCGTGTGTGTGTTAAGCGCGTGTGTGTTAAGCGTGTGTGTGTGTTAAGCGTGTGTGTGTTAAGCGTGTGTGTGTGTTAAGTGTGTGTGTGTTAAGCGTGTGTGTGTTAAGCGTGTGTGTGTGTTAAGTGTGTGTGTGTTAAGCGTGTGTGTGTGTTAAGTGTGTGTGTGTTAAGCGTGTGTGTGTGTTAAGTGTGTGTGTGTTAAGCGTGTGTGTGTTAAGCGTGTGTGTGTGTTAAGTGTGTGTGTGTTAAGCGTGTGTGTGTGTTAAGTGTGTGTGTGTTAAGCGTGTGTGTGTGTTAAGTGTGTGTGTGTGTTAAGCGTGTGTGTGTTAAGCGTGTGTGTGTGTTAAGTGTGTGTGTGTTAAGCGTGTGTGTGTGTTAAGTGTGTGTGTGTGTTAAGCGTGTGTGTGTGTTAAGTGTGTGTGTGTGTTAAGTGTGTGTGTGTGTTAAGCGTGTGTGTGTTAAGCGTGTGTGTGTGTTAAGTGTGTGTGTGTTAAGCGTGTGTGTGTGTTAAGTGTGTGTGTGTTAAGCGTGTGTTTCTCTCCGTCTCAGGCCAGCTGAGGTGCATCTCGTTCCCGCGGCACGATGAGGATCACCTGCAGAAGGTCGTCGGCTGCGCCCCGTATATCCTCATCCTGGGTCAGGACTGTTCGGCCCGATACCAGCTACTGAACTGCATGCTGGGAGAGAGGCTCCTCCCCCTGGGCTCGGATGCGGGCGGGGCCTGTGGCGTTGAGGGCGGGTCTTGCCGGAGGAGGAAGTTGTGTTTTACGCACGGCCGCCAGACGCGGTTGAGTTTGGCGTTACCGGGACAGTATGAGCTAGTGCATCAGCTAGCGGCGCACTGTGGCCGCTGGGATACGGTTCCCCGCGAGGACCTGGAGATTCAGGAGTGCGAAGATCCCGCGCAGCGATTGGCCGAGCTGGAGATCACGCTTCATCACGCGCTTCTGCAGGTCAGGGGAGAATGCAGTCCTCACGTTTCTCTCCATTAGCGCTGGGTATCGTCTGAATTTTAACAATCCCGATTCATAATTTCGATTCCAGTAAAACTTAGATATGATTCAGATTCAGTGTTATTGCTAAAGCGTTCAGCTGAATATCAAGAACACTTACACACAGCGTTAGCCTGAGGGTTAAACACACCATAGAAGAACAACTAGCCCAACTAATACACACTTCAGCATCAGTAAACACTCAGTCATTAAAAACTCTGTAACATTGTAAACATCAGTCAGCTCCTCATTCTCTGGTGTTTATGTAAGCCTGTCCTGATCTGGTGCGCTTCACATGACCACAGATGGAAAAGCCCACCAGGCTGAGGTGTGTCTCCATGGAGACGGGGAAACTGGATTCCTTTCTTTCACGAGCTCGCTTGTTTTCATGAGTTCTGGATTTCATTTTTGGACAGGCTCAGATCAGACTTCAAATCAGACTCAAATCAGACTTCAAATCAGACTCAAAGATCAGACTCAGAGATCAGATTCAAATCAGACTTCAAATCAAACTCAAATCAGACTTAAAATCAGCTCAAAGATCAGACTCAGAGATCAGACTCAAATCAGACTCAGAGATCAGACTCAGAACAGATTCAAATCAGACTTCAAATCAGACTCAAATCAGACTCAGAGAATAGAGTCAGATCAGACTTCAAATCAGCCTCAAAGATCATACTCAGAGATCAGATTCAAATCAGACTTCAAATCAAACTCAAATCAGACTTCAAATCAGCTCAAAGATCAGACTCAGAGATCAGACTCAAATCAGACTCAGAACAGATTCAAATCAGACTTCAAATCAGACTCAAATCAGACTTCAAATCAGACTCAGAGATCAGAGTCAGATCAGACTTCAAATCAGACTTCAAATCAGACTCAAATCAGACTTCAAATCAGACTTCAAATCAGACTCAAATCAGACTTCAAATCAGACTCAGAAATCAGAATCAGAGATCAGATTTAAATCAGACTTCAAATCAAACTCAAATCAGATTTCAAATCAGCTCAGAGATCAGACTCAAATCAGACTTCAAATAAGTCTAAAAACACTCTGATCAGTCTAATCAAACTCAAAACCAATTCTGATCAGTTTTAGATTAGTTTTATACCAGACTAACATCAGACTTGAATTGGTTTAAGATCCGTTTTGAATCAGTTTCCAATCAGATTCTGGTTCGTCTAAAACACAGAACTGTCTACTACTGTCTGCTAGACTTGGGTCAAAATCAGATTTGTTTTGAATTAGGATGGGACTCAAATCAGACTCAAACCAGTTTCACATCAGAATCATTAAAGGTCTTACACTGGTCCCAAATCAGACTCCGTTCACTTTGGTGAAAGTCAGATCAATCTCAAATCAGATTCTGTCTTGGATCAGAATTCAATTAGTCTAAGACCCTGATCAGAGTCCAATCAGTTTTATATCAGACTCATTAATGATTCGGATCCATTGTGAATTGGATCCGTTTCAAATCAGACTAGTGGCTTGCAGCAGAATACAGTGCTTTTAGACGTTTTGACGATGGTGTCAGAATCCAGTTAGACTAAAGATTCGGATCAAATTCACATCAGTTTTCAGATCGGTATTGAGTCAAATCAGTTTGGCATCAGACTCACTCCAGTTTCAATCGGTTACAAATCTCGCTCAGCTCAGACGAGGGTCAAAGTCAGCTCAGCTTTAGATCAACGGTGTGTGTGTGTGTGTGTGTGTGTGTGTGTGTCTCAGCCAGAACTGATTTTTCTGCATGATTCTCTCTTGCGGTTTCCAACCGTGTCATTGTGTTTAACTGGTGTGTTTGTTCAGTGCTCACACACATCTGCTAGAATCACGTCTGCTCTCAAATGAAACCCGTCTGCTCTCGGTCGAGACACACACACACACACACGCGTACGTTAGTGCCTAGGCGTTAATTAGCGCGGGGCTCGTGTTCGGTCCCAGCGTACGCTGACGGCAGGGAGCGAAATGTGTGTGTCCTGTGAACACATTCCCAGAATTCCTGCTAAAACACACACACACACGCATGCGTTAGCTGTAGCAGTGGAGAGCGTGTTTGATGCGCTTGAATCAGATCTTTGTTGGGTCGGGGTCTGTCGGGCCCGCGGCTCAGCCGGCCGTTTCGGAGGAGTGTGTGTGCAGGCCATCTTTGTTCAGAGAGACTCCAGCGCTCTATGGCTCTTGTGTCCGCGACGGCTCTGACTGACTCTATTGTGCTAGTGTGCTAGCGCTCTTTATTCCCTCTGCGGGTTAAGAGGAATCATACAGACGAACTTTGGCCCTGCGTATCTAATATTTCCTGAACCCACACTCCTTTATCTGTAGAAATGCTTCTTTACGTTCCCACGGGCATCAGGTCTGATAAACTAGACACAAGTCTAAGATTAATCTCATTAAAAGTTTTAAAAACAATGTTTTTTTAAAGAATTACATTGAAAGATTTTATCATAATTTCATTTTCCAATTTTACATCTACTTTTGTCAACATATTATTCATATAAATTATTTTTTATTAATTCATTTTTGGTGGGAAAAATGTAGTCGATTTTATTCAGGATTTAGAAAAACAAGAGTTATATAATTGTGCAGTTATATTACATATATTAACGCAGACTAGAAAACAATGTGGAAATTAACTAGTTGAAAGTGTGCTGAAAAATATCCTCAAGTGGAATTTAAACATTTCTTCTTTTTTAATATACGTTTTAGTTCATTTTATGCTTCTTTCAGTTGACATAAGTTACAGTTTAATTTACCAAATTTTATTGAACAAATGTAAACTTTTATTGGCTTTCAATAAACTTTTATATATTGTTCTTTTTATATTAATTGAATCATGTCACAAATAAATTGTGAAACAGATATTAATGTGAAAATTTGATCTCATGAAATATTATTCAGTTTAATCATAGTTTTTGTCATAATTGAAAGGTTGTCAATATATCAATATTAAATAATTTTAGAATATTGGCAGTTTTTATCAAACAAATATATAAATATTTTACTGACCAAATGTATTTAAACATGTTTTAATTCTATAGTTTATTTTTTTATGAATGGAAAGGTGTCAGGGCAAAAATAAAAATTCATGTGAAAAATATCTGAAATAACAGTGTTTATTTAAAGATTTTGTCATCATTTAAATTTATAGCAATTTTTTATCTTTTGTCAATATTTCATATTATTCATTTTTGTTGGGAAAAATTCTCAATTTTTGTTGGCAATTAGAAAAAAATTAATCAATCAAAAGTCACAATTTACTTGACCACTGATTTGACCAACTATTCTAATGTTTGGTTTAATATACTTTTTTAATATATTAATTGAAATGTTTAAAAAGATAAACATGTGAAAATGTTTAATGAAATAGTAATGAGTGAATTCAATTTTTAATCAGAGATTTTATAATAATTGAATTGTAAGATTAATTCATTCTAGTAAATTATTCTTTAATTTTAGTTGAAAATTCTTAATTTAAAAATATGAAATACCCAATATTGACACATTTTTATATATTTTTATTAGTGCTGTGCAACGATTAATCGTATCCAAAATAAAAGTTTGTGTATACATAATATGTGTGTGTATTGTGTATAATTATTTTTGTATATATATTATATATGTATTCTGTATTATATATAAATATTTTATATGTAAATAACAAATTTTTCTTATATATTTACATGCATGTGTATTATACAACATAATTATACACAGCACACACACATTAAGTAAACAAACTTTTTTTTGGATGCGATTAATCGCGTTTAATCGTTGCCCAAATATAAATATTTTATACATATATACCAAATTTTTCTTATATATTTACATGCATGTGTGTATTATACAACATAATTATACACACACACACACATATACTAAGTAAACGCAAACTTTGTATTTTAACGGCGATTAAAGGTTGCCCAGCCCTGATTGTTCGAGCGATAGTCCTGAGCGTGTCCTGTGTCGCCCCCCACAGGAGGCGAAGATCATGGTTCTCCCGTGCCGTAACGTCCAGCCCGTGGAGGAGGCCCTGGAGGACTGCAGGCGCGGGATCCTTCCCATCATCCTCTACGCCGTGAGCAAGGCCACACTGAGCGCGGATCAGCTGAGCGAGCTCCAGAAGGTGCGCGAGACGCTGCCGTACCCCGTGTGCTTCGTCCGCATCCCGACCGAACCCGCGCCGGACCCGCCGGGCCAGCGCTCCGCTCTGTTCGCGCAGCTCGTGTCTCAGGAGCTGATCGGCGGCGCGGCGGGAAACTGCGCCTGCGGGGCTCCGGCTCAGACGCCCGGGAAGATGCAAGGCATTCTGGGAGAGGATCTGGAGCGCCTGCACCGGGTCCTGGTGCCGTTCGCGAGGCAGGTTCTCCAGAGCCAGCAGGTGGAGGCGACGACGCTGCTGAACGCCGTGCACTGCCGCTGCCTCGACCTCTTCATCAACCAGGTGACACGCTAGCGCTCGCTAACATTAAACACTACCGCTTACAGACACACGGCTTGTGGGGTTTATTCTGAGATAACACACACACACACACACACAACCGGCTGCATGTAAACGGAGTGCGTGACGTAACGTGTGTTGGATGTGTGTGTGTGTGTTTGAGGCGTTCGACATGCAGCGGGATCTTCAGATCACCCCGCGGCGCCTGGAGTACACCCGCGAGAAGGAGGGCGAGCTCTACTCCTCCCTCATGGCCATCGCCAACCGCAAGCAGGAGGAGATGAAGGAGATGATCGTGGAGACGCTCGAGAGCATGAAGGAGCAGCTGCTGGAGGACGCCGCCAACCTGGAGTTCACAGGTCAGAGGTCACAGAGCAGAGGTCACAGGGCAGAGGTCACAGGTCAGAGCACAGAAGTCACAGCACAGAGGACACAGGGCAGAGGTCACAGGGTACAGGGTCGACTCCAGTTCAGACTGATGCGGTTGCACAGATGTGTCCTCAGAGACTGTTGTCAAGGCAACAGAACAGAGCTGAAATTAGTGTTTTCTTAAAATACTAATGAGAATTTTTAATAAAAGTATATTAGAGAGTTTTCATTTCGACCCCAAACATTCATATTAACTTGTGCAAAAACGGCAGTATATGACCCCTTTAATTATTTTCCCCCCCCATTTTTATGTTGTTTATTGTTCATTTAGTTCATTTAATTAGTTTTCACTGTTAGTTTTATATTTAGGTTGTTTTTTTTAATAAGACTTTTTACATTTTAAAAAATACTTTTTTGTTCATTTAGTTTTCTGTTTTCAGTTGTCGTTTGTGAGTTTGGTCGATTGGTTCTTCTGCTTTATTTGCTCATGTTCGGGCGGCCGAAGTTAACGGAGCATTGCAGCGTCTGCTCTCATCTCATCGTCTCAGTTATCTTAAATGTTGTGATTTAGATTTATTGAGATTTAATCTTTTTTAACGTCATTGGTCGTCCATTTGTAACAGATGAAATATAGTTTTAGACATTAGAGTTTAGTTTAGAGTTGATGCTGAAACAAATAGAAGGATAAACTTCCCCTTTACTAGTGTGTGCTCATCTACTGTGGTCAAACGTGTGTGTGAGACTGCGTGCGAGTGTGTGTGAGGGGGAAATCCACTGATATTGCCCTATTACTGTTTGTTTGAGTTGATTCGTTAGTGTTGATGGGTGTCATGTGACTGCCGTTACCGTGGCGACGCGAGTCTCGTTTCGAAGGGTTTCCTCAGGATGTTGAGCTTGTCGGCCGCCGCTTCATAACACACAATCACAACTGAACAGATTATTCCACTGAAATAAACCGTGTTTTCAGAAACTGTAATAAATGTAAAATAACTGCAGTTATTCAGTGTGTGTGTGTGTGTGTGTGTGTGTGATTAGTGTTATTATAGAGACGGCAGGATTATGAGCGCTTTAAATTATCAGGGGGCGGAGCTGGGGAGGTTTAGGGGTGGGGTTAGTGATCAGGGGGCAGAGCTGGGGAGGTTTAGGGGTGGGGTTAGTGATCAGGGGGCGGAGCTGGGGAGGTTTAGGGGTGGGGTTAGTGATCAGGGGGCAGAGCTGGGTAGGTTTGGGGGTGGGTTAGTGATCAGGGGGCAGAGCTGGGGAGGTTTAGGGGTGGGGTTAGTGATCAGGGGGCGGAGCTGGGAGGTTTAGGGGTGGGGTTAGTGATCAGGGGGCAGAGCTGGGTAGGTTTGGGGGTGGGGTTAGTGATCAGGGGCGGAGCTGGGAGGTTTAGGGGTGGGGTTAGTGATCAGGGGGCGGAGCTGGGGAGGTTTAGGGGTGGGGTTAGTGATCAGGGGGCAGAGCTGGGTAGGTTTGGGGGTGGGGTTAGTGATCAGGGGGCGGAGCTGGGGAGGTTTAGGGGTGGGGTTAGTGATCAGGGGGCAGAGCTGGGGAGGTTTAGGGGTGGGGTTAGTGATCAGGGGGCAGAGCTGGGTAGGTTTGGGGGTGGGGTTAGTGATCAGGGGGCAGAGCTGGGGAGGTTTAGGGGTGGGTTAGTGATCAGGGGGCAGAGCTGGGTAGGTTTGGGGTGGGGTTAGTGATCAGGGGGCGGAGCTGGGGAGGTTTAGGGGTGGGGTTAGTGATCAGGGGCGGAGCTGGGGAGGTTTAGGGGTGGGGTTAGTGATCAGGGGCAGAGCTGGGTAGGTTTGGGGGTGGTGTTAGTGATCAGGGGCGGAGCTGGGGAGGTTTAGGGGTGGGGTTAGTGATCAGGGGGCAGAGCTGGGTAGGTTTGGGGGTGGTGTTAGTGATCAGGGGGCAGAGCTGGGTAGGTTTGGGGGTGGTGTTAGTGATCAGGGGGCGGAGCTGGGGAGGTTTAGGGGTGGGGTTAGTGATCAGGGGGCAGAGCTGGGTAGGTTTGGGGGTGGTGTTAGTGATCAGGGGGCAGAGCTGGGTAGGTTTGGGGGTGGTGTTAGTGATCAGGGGGCGGAGCTGGGGAGGTTTAGGGGTGGGGTTAGTGATCAGGGGGCGGAGCTGGGGAGGTTTAGGGGTGGGGTTAGTGATCAGGGGGCAGAGCTGGGTAGGTTTGGGGGTGGTGTTAGTGATCAGGGGGCGGAGCTGGGGAGGTTTAGGGGTGGGGTTAGTGATCAGGGGGCGGAGCTGGGGAGGTTTAGGGGTGGGGTTAGTGATCAGGGGGCAGAGCTGGGTAGGTTTGGGGGTGGTGTTAGTGATCAGGGGGCGGAGCTGGGGAGGTTTAGGGGTGGGGTTAGTGATCAGGGGGCAGAGCTGGGTAGGTTGGGGGTGGTGTTAGTGATCAGGGGGCAGAGCTGGGTAGGTTTGGGGGTGGTGTTAGTGATCAGGGGGCGGAGCTGGGGAGGTTTAGGGGTGGGGTTAGTGATCAGGGGGCGGAGCTGGGAGGTTTAGGGGTGGGGTTAGTGATCAGGGGGCAGAGCTGGGGAGGTTTAGGGGTGGGGTTAGTGATCAGGGGGCAGAGCTGGGTAGGTTTGGGGGTGGTGTTAGTGATCAGGGGGCGGAGCTGGGGAGGTTTAGGGGTGGGGTTAGTGATCAGGGGGCAGAGCTGGGGAGGTTTAGGGGTGGGGTTAGTGATCAGGGGGCAGAGCTGGGGAGGTTTAGGGGTGGGGTTAGTGATCAGGGGGCGGAGCTGGGGAGGTTTAGGGGTGGGGTTAGTGGGTTGGAGCTGGGTAGGTTTAGGTATATGTAAGGTGGGAGGAGTTGAATCTGGATCCGACTCCTCCCCGTGGACTTCATGTTCTGCAGTGAGGACCATCTCCACGCTTCACCTGTTCTATCACTAGTATTATTACGTTTAAGCCACCTGTCCATTTTTGTTTTGTTTTAATATTTAGCTTGAACATAGCTTATGTTCTTGTTTCACTCAAGCCTCTGAACTGGATGACTGACTGTGTGTGTGTGTTTCAGATATCATCATGACGTCTAACTCGGAGCCCATGAGCTCTAAAGACATCAAGGTGTGTATCAGTCAGATCCAGGACCTGATCGTGATCCGGCTGAACCAGGCGGTGGCGAACAAGCTGACGAGTTCGGTGGATTACCTGCGCGAGAGCTTCGTGGGGACGCTGGAGAGGTGCCTGTGCAGCCTGGAGAAGTCCACCGGCGAGCCCTGCGCACACAACGTCACGTCCAACCACCTCAAGCAGGTGCGCACACACACACACACACACGCGCACACACACACACACACGCGCACACACACACACCTCAAGCAGGAGCTCAGAGTGGCAGTGCCGAAGCTTTGAGGCCACAGCTCGCGTTTATTGTCGACGAGACTCACACCAGCGCACACACACTGACTCCTGCGCACACACACTGACTCCAGCACACACACTGACTCCTGCGCACACACACTGACTCCTGCGCACACACACTGACTCCAGCGCACACACACTGATCAATGAGTGCGAGACTCGATACGCCGTCTACATCCGCGTCTCCTCATTTCGTACCATTCAAATGCTTTAAACGCAACCCATATTTCATAGAAAATTACATTTGAAATTTGAAAATCACAACATTTGTGAACAGTTTCATAGGAGATCCTACACCAATTGTGTTTTTCATTTTTTCTTTCAAATCTCTTTTTATCTCTAGTTTTATTTCTAGTTATTTGAAATTTTAATCAGATTAAGAATTATATTGTGCTGTACAATAAAAAGATCTAAACGTATGAGTGTGTGACTGTACTGATGTGTGTGTGTGTGTGTGCAGATCCTGAACGCGGCGTATCACGTGGAGGTGACGTTCCACTCGGGCTCCTCCGTCACACGCCTCTTCTGGGAGCAGATCAAACAGGTACGTTACCCATAATTCCCTGCACTGGGGGCACGTGGCTCGGCCACTCATGTGTGTGTGTGTGTGTCCTCAGATCATCCATCGGATCTCGTGGGTCAATCCGCCGTCCGTCACGAGCGAGTGGAAGCGCAAGGTCGCACAGGACGCCATCGAGAGCCTCAGCGCCGCCAAACTGGCCAAGAGCATCTGCTCCCAGTTCAGGACTCGCCTCAACAGCTCCCATGAGGCCTTCGCCAGCTCCCTGAGACAGGTCACACACACACACACACTCACACACATACACACATGAGTCAGTCAGTGAGCGAGACAGTCAGTGAGCGAGTGAGTCAGTGAGTGAGTCAGTGAGTGAGTGAGTGAGTGAGCGAGTGAGTCAGTGAGTGAGTCAGTGAGTGAGTGAGATAGTGAGTGAGTGAATCAGTGAGCGAGTGAGTCGGTGAGTGAGTGAGTGAGTCAGTGAGTGAATCAATGAGCGAGTGAGTCAGTGAGTGAGTCAGTGAGCAAATGAGTCAGTGAGCGAGTCAGTCAGTGAGTGAATCAGTGAGCGAGTGAGTGAATCAGTGAGCAAGTGAGTCAGTGAGAGAATCAGTGAGCGAGTGAGTTAGTGAATGAGTTGGTGAGTGAATCAGTGAGCGAGTGAGTCAGTGAGTGAGTGAGTCAGTGAGTGAATCAATGAGCGAGTGAGTCAGTGAGTGAGTCAGTGAGCGAGTGAGTCAGTGAGTGAATCAGTGAGTGAGTCAGTGAGTGGATCTGTGAGTCAGTGAGTGAGTGAGTGAGTGAGTGAGTCAGTGAGCGAGTGAGTCAGTGAGCGAGTGAGTCAGTGAGTGAGTCAGTGAGCAAATGAGTCAGTGAGCGAGTCAGTCAGTGAGTGAATCAGTGAGCGAGTGAGTGAATCATTGAGCAAGTGAGTCAGTGAGAGAATCAGTGAGCGAGTGAGTTAGTGAATGAGTTGGTGAGTGAATCAGTGAGCGAGTGAGTCAGTGAGTGAATCAATGAGCGAGTGAGTCAGTGAGTGAGTCAGTGAGCAAATGAGTCAGTGAGCGAGTCAGTCAGTGAGTGAATCAGTGAGCGAGTGAGTGAATCATTGAGCAAGTGAGTCAGTGAGAGAATCAGTGAGCGAGTGAGTTAGTGAATGAGTTGGTGAGTGAATCAGTGAGCGAGTGAGTCAGTGAGTGAGTGAGTCAGTGAGTGAATCAATGAGCGAGTGAGTCAGTGAGTGAGTCAGTGAGCGAGTGAGTCAGTGAGTGAATCAGTGAGTGAGTCAGTGAGTGGATCTGTGAGTCAGTGAGTGAGTGAGTGAGTGAGTGAGTCAGTGAGCGAGTGAGTCAGTGAGCGAGTGAGTCAGTGAGTGAGTGAGTGAGTGAGTGAGTCAGTGAGCGAGTGAGTCAGTGAGTGAGTCAGTGAGTGAGTGAGTGAGTGAGTCAGGGAGTGAGTCAGTGAGTGAGTCAGTGAGTGAGTGAGTGAGTGAGTCAGGGAGTGAGTCAGTGAGTAAGTCAGTCAGTGAGTGAGTGAGTGAGTGAGTCAGTGAGCGAGTGAATCAGTGAGTCAATCGGTGAGCGAGTGAGTCAAGGCGCAGTGCTGTTACGGTGTGTAGTGGATCTCCAGTGCAGCAGTGTGTGTGAGACTGTGTGTGTGTGCGTGTGTGCAGCTGGAGGAGGGTCACACGGGTCGTCTGGAGCGAACTGAAGACCTCTGGCTGCGGGTCAGGAAGGATCACGCGCCGCGACTCGCACGACTGTCACTGGAGAGCCGATCGCTGCGAGACATTCTGCTGCACGGTGAGACACGATCAGTGTGTGTGTGTGTGTGTGTGTGTGTGTGTGTGTGATCACCGTCTGACTCCACCGTCTCCTCAGGAAAGCCCAAGCTGGGCCGTGAGCTGGGCCGAGGTCAGTACGGTGTGGTGTATCTGTGTGACAACTGGGCCGGACGTCACCCGTGTGCGCTGAAGTCTGTGGTTCCTCCTGACGACAAGCACTGGAACGACCTCGCGCTGGAGTTTCACTACACACGGTAACAGCACTGGACACACACACACACACACACACACGGTAACAGCACTGGACACACACACACACACGCACACACGGTAACAGCACTGGACACACACACACACACACGGTAACAGCACTGGACACACACACACACACACACACACACGGTAACAGCACTGGACACACACACACACACGCACACACGGTAACAGCACTGGACACACACACACACACACACACACACACACACACGGTAACAGCACTGGACACACACACACACACACACACACACGGTAACAGCACTGGACACACACACACACACACACACACGGTAACAGCACTGGACACACACACACACACACACACACACGGTAACAGCACTGGACACACACACACACACACACGGTAACAGCACTGGACACACACACACACACACGGTAACAGCACTGGACACACACACACACACGCACACACGGTAACAGCACTGGACACACACACACGGTAACAGCACTGGACACACACACACACACACGGTAACAGCACTGGACACACACACACACACACACACACACACACGGTAACAGCACTGGACACACACACACACACACACACACACACACACACGGTAACAGCACTGGACACACACACACGGTAACAGCACTGGACACACACACACGGTAACAGCACTGGACACACACACACACACACACGGTAAAAGCACTGGACACACACACACACACACGGTAACAGCACTGGACACACACACACACACGCACACACGGTAACAGCACTGGACACACACACACGGTAACAGCACTGGACACACACACACACACACACGGTAAAAGCACTGGACACACACACACACACACGGTAACAGCACTGGACACACACACACACACACGGTAACAGCACTGGACACACACACACACACGCACACACGGTAACAGCACTGGACACACACACACGGTAACAGCACTGGACACACACACACACACACGGTAACAGCACTGGACACACACACACACACACACACACACACACGGTAACAGCACTGGACACACACACACACACACACACACACACACACACACGGTAACAGCACTGGACACACACACACGGTAACAGCACTGGACACACACACACGGTAACAGCACTGGACACACACACACACACACACGGTAACAGCACTGGACACACACACACACACACGGTAACAGCACTGGACACACACACACACACACACACACACACACGGTAACAGCACTGGACACACACACACACACACACGGTAAAAGCACTGGACACACACACACACACTACACACAGTTATTCAGTAGAACGAGTGTGTGTTGTCTCTGTTGTGTGATTAGTGTTGTTATAGAGACGGCAGGAATATGAGCGCTGTCTCTTTAAGAGCTGCGGGTCCCGTACACTGATACACACAGAGTCAAGAGTGTCCGATTCCTCTAGTATTCTGGAATGGATTTAACCGTGGTTGAGTTCGCTATCATTGCTCCATTGCTCATGTCTGTCAGGTCTCTGCCTAAACACGAGCGGCTGGTGAATCTTCACGGCTCGGTTATCGATCACTCGTACGGCGGCGGCTCCAGTATCGCCGTTCTGCTCATCATGGAGCGACTGCACAGAGATCTCTACACGGGCCTGAAGGTACCGCCACACATCTGTCCGTCTGTCTGTCCGTCTGTCTGTCTGTGGTTCTGACGTGTCTCTCTCTCAGGCGGGTCTGGTTCTGAAGGAGCGTCTCCAGATCGCTCTGGACGTGGTGGAGGGGATCCGGTTCCTGCACGGTCAGGGTCTCTTGCACCGGGACATCAAGCTGAAGAACGTTCTGGTGAGAAATCGTGTCTGATCCGCGTCTGATTCGGGTCCGGTTCAAGGGTCAGACACAAGCTTCATAACGCTGGGATTGTTCTTCTGTGCAGCTGGATAAACAGAACCGGGCCAAGATCACGGACCTGGGCTTCTGTAAACCCGAGGCCATGATGTCCGGGAGCATCGTCGGGACGCCCATCCACATGGCACCAGAACTCTTCACAGGTCCGAACACACCCGATCTCTGTGTGATTCTTCAGAGTGAATCAGTCAGCCAATCAAACCCACTCAATGACTCAAATGTGCTTTGAATCAACTCAAATGACTCAAATGTGCACTGAACCGACTCAAATGACTCCAATATGCACTGACTCGACTCAAATGTCCCGAACGTGCACTGAACCGAGTCAAATGACTCAAACGTGCCCTGAACCGACTCAAACGTGCACTGAACCAAGTCAGATGACTCAAACGTGCACTGAACCGACTCAAATGACTCAAACGTGCACTGAACCGACTCAAATGACTCAAACATGCACTGAACCGAGTCAAATGACTCAAATATGCACTGAATCGACTCAAATGACTCAAACATGCACTGAACCGACTCAAATGACTCAAACGTGCACTGAGCCGAGTCAGATGACTCAAACGTGCACTGAACCGACTCAAATGACTCAAACGTGCACTGAGCCGAGTCACATGACTCAAACGTGCACTGAACCGACTCAAATGACTCAAACATGCACTGAATCGGTTTTCATGTTCAAGAACTGTTACTCTGTGAAGTGTTTTTGATGAGTGAAATGGTAAAAATGATTCATACATTTAGTACAAATATTGAGGAAACTTGTTTAAATATTTCACTATTTCAAAATCAACTTATTTACATTAATAAATATATTTTTAAGTACAGATGCGCAATATATTGATATCTTATCGACTGTTTTTAAAGGTTTTTTCATCTCTTGAAAAAGTGTGTGTCATCTGACTAAATCCTTTAATATTAAAAAAAACAACAATTGAATCATTTAAAAATAATTTAATATTTCAATAACAGTCTATAGCAGATCTGACAATTTCATTTTAGAATTTAAAAACATATCGGGCTATAAAAAATTAAAAAAGATTTTTTTTTTTTTCAAAAGCTATTATTTATTGTAATTTTTTAATATCAGACCATATAAGTGATTATTTTGAGAATTATTTGAAAATTTCAAAAATAACACATTTTTATTTTACTTTTTACACTGTGATTTACAACATAGGCGATAAAAGATAATTTTAAAAAAATGAATACAATTTTTTTTTAACTATTACAATATATATATTTTATATAATACAAATTCTACATTTTTATGGTAACTTTTAAATATCGGACAATGAAAATGACGGTGAAAATATCAACTTTTTCGTCAAATGTTTTTTGGTAACTATAAATAGTTGCTGTTTGTTTTGGGCAGGAAAGTACGATAACTCGGTGGACGTGTACGCCTTCGGGATTCTCTTCTGGTATCTGTGCACCGGCTCCGTCAAGCTCCCAGAAGCCTTCGAGAGATGCTCCAGTAAAGACCAGCTGTGGACCAACGTCAAGAAAGGTCAGAGTGCTTTCCTCCCGCAGCTGGGAACTCTGGGTAAATATCAGCACATGCTGATTGGCTCACGAGTCGCTCTGCGTTTCAGGCTCCTTCTGGAGGGCTTGCCCTCGTTCGTGTGCTGATAAGTTACCTTATTACTTTTTTTAGTCAGAATTGCAATATGTAAACTCGTAATTGTGAGGGAAAAAAATGTAAACGTAAGAAGGAAAAAATTATAATTTTATCAAACGATTTTAGTCAGATTTACGAGGTATAAACTCGCATTTTGATTCGCATTCGCATTATAAATTTAAACGCAAAAAATCTAAATGAATTTACCTAAGAAAAAGGTCAGAATTATGACACAAAATTCGCAATTATGGGTTAGGGTTAGAATTAAGAATTGCGAAATATAAACTAATGAAGAAAAAACTCATTATTGTGATAAAAATTAACAAAAAGTCAGAACTCTGAGATATAAACTTGCAATTATGAGTTTCTAACTTGCAATTGCGAAATATAAATTCAAAATATAGTTGCAATTATCTTTTTAGTTTTTAGTCGTAATATTGAGATATAAACTCACAGTTGTGATAGTCAAAATTAATGATAAATTAAAATTCGCTTTTACGATTTTTAATTAAGAATTGTGAAAAATAAACGTGAACGCAAATTTTTCATGATTTTTTTTCTCTCAATTGCAAGTTTGTATTTCGCAGTTTTTAATTAAAAATCATAATAGCGAATATTGTATCATAATTTCGATTTTTTTTTTCTTAATTACGTTTTAAATATTTAAAAAATGTATTAAGAGTTGCGAAATACAAACTTGCAGTTGTGAGAAAAAAAGTTAAAATTCCAAGTGCGCAATTCTTAATAAAAAATTTGTAATAAAAAATTCAAAACATAAATGAGAAAACAAGAGAAGTCGCTATTCTAATTTTTAATTAAGAATTGCAAAATAATTGTAATTGTACGAATTCTTCTTACAATTTTAAATTCTTTTCTTCTCACAGTTGCAAGTTTGTTTTTCATAATTCTTAATGAAAAATTTGTAATAAAGATTTAAAACGTAATTGAGAAAAAAAGATAAAAGTCAAAATTATGATACAAAATTCGCTTTTACGATTTTTAATTAAGAATTGCGAAATATTAAATTGCAATTGTGAGAACAATTTGCACATTTACATGTTTATATTTCGCGCAATTCTTAATTTAAAAATGTTAATTGCGGAATTCTAAATCATAATTTTGACTTTTTTTTTTCCTCAATTACGTTTAATTCTTTAATTCCGAATTGTGAGATATTTTGGGCTGTTTCAGGCTCCCGGCCGGAGCGCTTGGCCTCGTTCGATGAGGAGTGCTGGCAGCTGATGGAGGCCTGTTGGAACGGAGACCCTTCCCAGAGGCCTCTGCTGGGGATCGTTCAGCCCAGTCTGCAAAGCATCATGGACCGCCTGTGCAACGACTCCGACCACAAGAGCGGCAACCTCGAGGACTCGAACTGACATGTTTCCCTGTGTATGAGTGTGCAAAAAAACGGACGAATGTTTCTATGCCTATGAGCAAACATGATCACGTGTGTCATATTCATGGTAGATCCGGAGAGATTTTACGTGTAGAGTGTGTGTTACCCATGAACTGAAGCAGTCATTTTTAGATGTGTTTAAACTGGTTTACATTATTCCTTAGATGACATTTTTTAATAAAATGATTTGACCAATTCACCGTTGCACTGGATTGTACTCTGTGTGTGTGTTAAAGTGATCGTTATACACTCTGAAATGTGTGTTAAATGTTCAAACACAATCATAGGCTCATATTTGAAGTCTGTGTGAATTATAGGCTAGTTTATATTCAAATCAGCTTTACTTCAACGGCGAAAAACAGGAAAATAACATTCAATGATGCAAACTTCATCCAGAAGAGACAAATTCTGCTGGAAAGACAATAGTCATTGTTCATATTGATGTTATTTTTAATATTTCATTCAGGCTAATCCTGAGTATGTTGAGGGTTTGAAGGTCATATAGGCCTATTAGCGTTTTTTTGCCATTTAACATATCCCAACAACGCATACTGTAAATCACAGTGTTTGTGAGGCGAGAGATGAGACTTTTAGGAAACAATTTTACTAACTTTTATGTGAATAACAACAGTACAAACACTGAGACGTGGGAGGCTGAATCCAGCTTGTTATTCACAGGTCTGTTCCAGCAATGCTATGGCTATTCTAACTGATTTTCACCTCTGTTAAATTCATGGGTCCATAACTTCATAATGCTACTGTAAATCTGTCTGCAAATCAGAGTCAACACTGGGTATGAGACACCTACCCTCAATGGCAGCTGAGCTATAGCACCACCAACTGGGCCAACAATGCAATGTCTCTTGCATTTTTGTCATATTTGTCAACTTCATGGGTCCATAACTTCATAATCTTACAGTAAAAATGTCTGATATTGTGCAGGCTGACGGTCGTCTGTCATAATTATAAGATGTAGAAACTGAAATTAGCTTAGTAATAATTGATTATTTTAAATTCTGACATTGTACGTCATAGGACCACTTGTCATAATTAAGATTAGTCTACCCCGTAACGTTGCTGTGACCGCGCTTTCCGCGATCCCGCGCATAGACAGATCATCCTCTCTGCAGATATCGCGAGAGTTCCGCCTCATGCTCTATGTGCAGGTCGGAGTTCTACAGATCACGCGAGAATGGAGAGCGGCACTCTGAGTCTGACTGGGTTCTCGGCATTTATAAAATATGACACATTAATACAATATTAATATTATCACTGTTATAATAAACTGAAATTATGCCTTCTAGCATATTTTCTGCATTTTTCCCTGTTTAAATTATGAATATCGTGTGTGATGTATTTTGAATGAGTTTGTTTAAAACCTTCAATGGACTTATTTCTTCATAATACACAGTCAAATCTGAATCCTGATACGAAACGATTAAACGATTTAAGCAGTCAATAAAGAACAATTAATAAAACATCCTAGCAGAAGAATGTCATAACTGCACTTAAAAACATAACATTTATGTAAATAGTTGATCAAACATTTAATGTTCACAAGAGTGAATATATAAGTCATTTATGACTCTCAGTTGATAGTCGATCTATTTTTATTTATTTATTTATTTGATGCAATGTCACGAAAACAATAGTTATTACAAATTCACATTGTCACATTAACATTCGCTGCCAGGAAATGAAAGAAAATAAATGAATAACAAAAATAGAAATATTACATAAAATCAAAGCTGTACAGTTTTTTTTTACAGCGCTTTTTTTGTTTTTTGTTTGTTCCAAATGATTTACACATCATTTAAAGTCATTTAAAATGTGAAAATTACTTTAGTTTTGCATTGCAAATTGTCATTCTGAGTATATCCATATCTGTAACGAGTAATAATGATCGCTGCTCTCTGCCGCCCCCTGCCGCCCACACCCCGCCCACTCAGTTTCCGCCCCGCCCCCTTTCTTCTATATTTGGCCATGCCTTACTCGAGCGCCTGTGATTGGCCAGCGCGGTCTTGCAGCGGAATGACCCGGATGTGCATCGCGCGCCTCCCCTGCTGGAGCCCGGATGAGGAAGTGAAGCGCTGACAGGGCTGGGTTCCGTCAGAGAGTCGAAGCAGCACCGCGTCCAGATACACCGAAGCAGACCCGCACAGCGAACCGAACCGAGCCCGCTTCATCCCCGCAGAACCGAGCCCGAGAGCCGCAGACATGGTGAGAGACCCGCGGGGGCGCGCCTTATTGGGTCGATGCCCGTTTTAGGAAGAGCCGCGCTGCGCCTCGCAGAATCTGAGCCGAACACACACACACACACACCAGAACATAATACACACACTAGAACATTAACACACACTCCTATATTTTATAAAAGAAGAGCGCTTTAGGGGTTCTCAGGGGCTCGTGTTTCGAGTGTCCTGGTGTTCAGTGTGTCTCTGTATATTTATTTATGTGTGTGTGAGTTTAATATCTGTTTCATGTTTGGTGTGTTGTTGTTTGAGATGTTAATGTAGAGTTGGTCTCTGTGGGGTTTAGTGTTTGTTGCATTGGTGTTTGTTTGGGTGTGTTTTGGGAGTTTTTGGGTAAAGAGTTGCAGGTTTTAGTTTTAGATTTCTATGTAATTGTGGGGTTTCTGTCCTGGGGTTGTTTTTGAGGCTTTGAGGGGTTCAATATCTGTTTCATCTGTCAGATGGGTTTAGTGTTTGATGGTTTAGATAGTAAAAGACTGACGTGTTTACATTCTTCTCAAATGCGGGTCAGTTCAGGATCATGATGTGTTCGCACTGGAGCCGAATCTGATATCGCCACATTTAAAAACATGTGAACGTGTCTCATTTTCCGTCATTAAATTCTCCATGTTATTAATATCAATAATAAAGTGTCATTGTTTTCAGTGTTCAGGTTTCAGTGTTCCGTTTAAACGTTTTCTGCGTTTTGGCCGTTCGTTTACACGACAGTGGCGTTTTGGGGGCATGACAACTTTTAAAAACAGGATTTAAAGTGTGAGATTGTGAAAATGAGACCTTTATCGTCTCTGTGTGAACTACAAAAACACAAATCATGCACGCGCGTTACGTGTTCAGTCATAGTAGCGTTAGGGTTTCTTTACGCAGTGACATCGCCATCTACTGGCCTGACGCCAGAATAATAGTTTTCACGGATCAGTTTGACAATGTTGTCGTCTGTATATGTGCGAAGATGCACAGTAAATACTCTTCCGTGTTTAGTACGTCGTGTAAATGCACCGTTAGACATTTAGGGTTCGAGAGTTTGATATTTTGGGGTCAGTATTGGAAGGTTTAGTATTGATGTATCTGACATTCGAGATGTGTTTGATGGGTTTTCTGTTAGTATTTCATATTTTTAGGGATGCGCGATATATATCGGAACATGCCGACATATGTTCATTTTTAATGTTATCGGCTCATATTAGCCGATATTCATTATTTCCTTCAGCTGAGACACTTCAGATGCGCACTGTTCAACAAGATGGTTTTGAATTGCTTGAAATATGATTAACGTACAGTTCAGCGCAACGCAAGTCCGTCATATCAGCTACATAAAATCATAACGAGAACATCATAATTGTGTGTTTGGGACATGGATTTAATGGTGAGACTTTAACTCAAAAATTCTATAAAAAATAGTTTTTTAGATTTATCGGCCAATATATCGGTTATAATTCCCAAGAATTATCGGTTATCGGCCAAAACGTTCGTATCGGTGCATCCCTAAATATTTGTTGCTTTTACCGTCCTCTGGGATTTGTGAGTTTAATATTTTGGGGTTTATTGTCTATGTTTGTTTAGAGGCTTTGGGTGCTCAATATTTAAGTATGATTGACTGTAAATTGAATTTCTCTAATAATGTGAATCTTATTTGTAAGAAAGTGAATCAAAGGCTGTATTCGTGCTATTAGGAAACAGAGAAACTTCTGTAAGTTGATCTGCAAAGAGTTTGTATTAGTTTAATTTAGAGTATAACTGTGTGGTTTGGATGAGTTCATCTGTGAATAAAGTAAAGTTAGACAGAATTACAAGAGTAGCAGGAAGCATTATATTTGCTCACTATAGCGAGACACAACACACCCTTCGAATCACGTCTTTGAATCATTACCATCTCGTCGTCACGAAGAAGATTAAAGCAATATATAAACAAACTTTTGGACCAAATGCATTAATTCTTTTGAATAAGACTTAGGAAATGTGAGTATTTTAATCTTGATGTGTGCTGTTTTGTGAATGTATGGCGAGACGAAAGACCAATTTTCAGCTAAGGCTGAACAAATAAAGAGCTACAGTTAATTAAAGGGTTAATATTTCTGAATCTGATGGGTTTGTTGGGGGTTTTAGGTGATATTTTGACAGAAGTGTTTAATCGATAATGCTGTGCAACTAGGTGTTTATTTCACATCAACGGCCGTCAGATGAAACTCGCGGTAGTTTCGGTGTTTGTTTGGTTTGAGGGTTTCGGTGTCGAAGTGTTTTTTGACGTGTAATGTGTGAGATGTATAGATGTATAGATATAGATGTATCAGTAAGAGAGACGCGTGAGGTTGAAGTAAAGTTCAGTCTAAACCTGGAGACAGATGTTTATAACTTCAGCAGCGAGAGAGTTCATGTTTAGATGTTCTGCTCTCAGCGAACCACATTTAGGCCGGGACTCGAGCAGGTGGTTTGGATCCCAGCGTGCCCTTTGACCCCTCACACACACACGAGTGTAAACTCCTTGCTGAATAAAAGTATTGAGTCCTCTCTTTGATTGATTGATCATGTCTGTCCCGCTGCGCTGTGTAGCTAACGCTGAGGTGTGTGTGTGTGTGTGTTCCAGAACGAGCAGCAGTTGGACTGTGCGCTGGACCTGATGAGGCGTCTGCCTCCGCAACAGATCGAGAAGAACCTCAGCGACCTCATCGACCTGGTCAGTGTGTGTTCCCTCGCTCCTCTGACCTCTGACCTCTGTGGGTTTAACGACCCCCCAAACATCACTGTAACACACATGTGAAGAACATTCATTTATTTGTGTTTTCATTTTAGTTTTAGTATTTTTGTAATTAGATTTTTTTAGTTGTTAAAATATTTCTATTTACTTGTTCAATTATTTTCATTTTAGCGATTTTATGTGCTTTTATCCCATTTGTTTTTTACATATTTCTATTTAACTTTAATTTCTATTTTAGTATTAGTGTGTTTCTCCAGTAAATGACTCGGATTGTTGAAGACTACAGTAATCTTCAGTTACAGGCTTTGATAATGTTTTCAGTGCATCATAAACTACTGTTATGATATTTTATTGTGTTTTCTGAGCTGTTTTCATTATGTGTAGAGTTGAATATGTGCTCCTGAGAGTGAAAGCTCTTGTGTGAACTGTGTTAGCGTTGGGTCTGTTGTTAGCTGTTATTAGCGCTGGTGTCAGTCACACTGCTGGAGTGTGTGTGTGTGTGTGTGTGACAGGAATCCACTTCCTCTCCGGCAGGGTGAATCATTTGTTCTGTGTGTGTGTGTGTGTGTTTAGGTGCCCAGCCTGTGTGAAGATCTGCTGTCGTCTGTGGATCAGCCGCTGAAGATCGCTCGCGATAAAGTCGTGGGTAAAGACTATCTGCTGTGCGACTACAACCGCGACGGCGACTCCTACAGGTCGGAGCTCAACCCATGTTCACACACACCACAAACTCTTAGTTTTAAGTGATTTACGAAATATTCATTCAATTGTTTGTCGTTTGATTCACCACTGTTTTTGATGATGAATTTGTGTTAAATCACGAATACAGAAAAATGTAAAAAGTGATAAAACAATTAGTATCTGTCCTATTATTGTTACAATTTTAATAAATGAAGTTAACAGGGTTTTTTTTTTTTATTATTTGGATTAAATGTTCTTTTTCGTTATTCAAGTTTAATTAAAACAGTGAAAAACGCATTCCAGTAAAATGGAAAATGAATTTGGGAAAACAAAATGTATTTCATACAAAATTTAATTTGTTAAACTCTTAATAGATTGTTGTTAAATTGCATAAATTTTTACAATTGTAATTAATTAGACATGCTTTTTGATTACTAAAACTTAATTTAACCATTCCGGAGCGATTTGAAACGGGAAGTGTATGATCCAGGAATTAATTATAAAAGTTTCATGATTTCAGTTAATTAGACATGCGTTTTGAATGCTATCGTTTAATTAAACCATTAAAGGGGAAACCAGAACAATGAAAACCACCATAGTAAAAATTAAATTAAATCTAGGAAAAATCTTTCACATGCCCCACACCAGAGTGAAAGGAAACGCCGTCAAACCCGTGGGATGTCATGCGTGTTTGTGTGCTCTGATGATGTCATGCGTGTTTGTCTGCTCTGATGATGTCATGCGTGTTTGTCCGCTCTGATGATGTCATGCGTGTTTGTGCGGTCTGATGTCATGCGTGTTTGTGTGCTCTGATGATGTCATGCGTGTTTGTGCGCTCTGACGATGTCATGCGTGTTTGTGTGCTCTGATGTCATGCATGTTTGTGCGCTTTGATGATGTCATGCGTGTTTGTGCGCTTTGATGATGTCATGCGTGTTTGTGTGCTCTGATGTAATGCATGTTTGTTTGTGCGCTTTGACGATGTCATGCATGTTTGTGTGCTCTGATGTCATGCGTGTTTGTGCGCTTTGACGATAGGTGTGTTCGACATCGCCTGCGGCTGGATGCAACCGATCGGCGAGAATAGCCGCGTGCAGGCGGGGAGGAGCTGCAAATGGAGACGTGAAGTCGGACAATTTCTGGTTCCCGTAGTGACGGCTCACGTGGTGTTTGCATGCTTTACCACAGCCTAAGTGAAATAAATGCAACATTTGCCAAATAAACAGATATTTCAGACACATTTTCATTCAACACTTTACTGCTTCATACAGCATCTGTTTGAACTGGAATAAAGTTCAAAATAAGCCTATAATCAATGACGTGGAATCAACGTTTTTTAATCAGTTTTATTTTGATAAACCTGATAAACATGACACAATATAACATCGGGACTACATAAAAAGACTGTTTACTGTTATAGAAAACAGATTTGTGAGCTTTAGTGGAACTAAATGTGCGAGAATAAACACGAAACGCACGTGATCGTTGTCATGCGTTGAATCCGACGAATCGTGGAACAGCTGTGACATCATCAGAGCTCGTGCAGCCGCTCTTGAGAAGCTGCGCTGGCTGAGTCCTCCGGCTACTCTCGTAACGCTCTCGCGGTACTTTGATGGCATATGTCACAGTCACGTGGAGTCAGCGCTGCATCAAGTCGGACAAAATTTCTAACCGGCATGCACTGTTTCAAGTCAGCCGACGATCGGTCTGCGCAGAGCTGCATGAAGTCCAACAAGCCTAAGGTCATGCATGTTTGTGCTCTGATGTCATGCGTGTTTGTGCGCTTTGACGATGTCATGCGTGTTTGTGTGCTCTGATGTCATGCGTGTTTGTGCGCTTTGATGATGTCATGCGTGTTTGTGTGCTCTGATGATGTCATGTCATGCGTATTTGTGCGCTCTGATGTTATGCGTGTTTATGGGCTCTGTCTGATGTCATGCGTGTTTGTTTGTGTGCTCTGATGATGTCATGCGTGTTTGTGTGCTCTGTCTGATGTCATGCGTGTTTGTTTGTGTGCTCTGATGATGTCATGCGTGTTTGTGTGCTCTGATGTCATGCGTGTTTGTGCTCTGATGTCATGCGTGTTTGTGCGCTTTGACGATGTCATGCGTGTTTGTGTGCTCTGATGTCATGCGTGTTTGTGCGCTTTGATGATGTCATGCGTGTTTGTGTGCTCTGATGATGTCATGTCATGCGTATTTGTGCGCTCTGATGTTATGCGTGTTTATGGGCTCTGTCTGATGTCATGCGTGTTTGTTTGTGTGCTCTGATGATGTCATGCGTATTTGTGCGCTCTCATGATGTCATGCGTGTTTGTTTGTGTGCTCTGATGATGTCATGCGTGTTTGTGTGCTCTGATGATGTCATGCGTGTTTGTGGGCTCTGATGTCATGCGTGTTTGTGTGCTCTGATGATGTCATGCGTGTTTGTTTGTGGGCTCTGATGATGTCATGCGTGTTTGTTTGTGTGATCTGATGATGTCATGCGTGTTTGTTTGTGGGCTCTGATGATGTCATGCGTGTTTGTTTGTGGGCTCTGATGATGTCATGCGTGTTTGTGGGCTCTGATGATGTCATGCGTGTTTGTTTGTGGGCTCTGATGATGTCATGCGTGTTTGTGTCTTCTCATGTCACACGTGTGTTTGGTTTGTGCGCTCTTGATGTCATGCATGTTTGCTCGCTCCGATGATGTCACGTGTGTGTTTGGTTTGCGCGCTCTGATGATGTCACGTGTGTGTGTGTCCCAGATCCCCCTGGAGTAATAAGTATGAGCCCCCGATCGACGACGGAGCGATGCCGTCCGCGCGGCTCAGGAAGCTGGAGGTGGAGGCCAACAACGCCTTCGACCAGTACCGAGACCTGTGAGTACAAGCCCCTCCCCCTCAGCGCCCACCGCGCTGCCATTGGCTGACGCGCTCTGCTCCGCCCACAGGTACTTCGAGGGCGGGGTCTCCTCCGTCTACCTGTGGGATCTGGATCACGGGTTCGCCGGAGTCATCCTCATCAAGAAGGCCGGCGACGGCTCCAAGAAGATCAAGGGATGCTGGGACTCCATCCATGTGGTGGAGGTGCAGGTGAGACACACATCCAGGAACTGATGTCATTTGGAAAGGCAGCGAAACAGGATGTGTTTGAGTGAGAGTGTGTGTGTGTTTTCAGGAAAAGTCCAGCGGCCGCACGGCCCATTATAAACTCACGTCCACCGTCATGCTGTGGCTTCAGACCACCAAAACCGGCTCTGGAACCATGAACCTGGGCGGCAGCCTCACTCGACAGGTAACACACACACACACACACACACACACAGAGCTGTGTGTCCAGTTACTGCTGCTGACCTGTGTGTGTGTGTGTCTCAGATGGAGAAAGATGAGACGGTCGGTGAATCTTCCCCTCACATCGCCAACATCGGACGCTTAGTGGAGGTGATTCTCACTCACACACACACACACACACACACACTAATAGCACATCTAACACTACTGGTGTGTAGAGTCAGTAATATGAGCTCAGATCACAGCAGAGATGAACACTGATGACAGAACACAGACAACTCTTGCTCACGCACACACACACGCGCTTCAGTGCTAGCTTCGGCTACACGTCGTCATACATGCTTAAACTGAGTGTGTGTGTGTGTGTGTGTCCTTTAGGACATGGAGAACAAGATCCGCTCCACTCTCAATGAGATTTACTTCGGCAAGACCAAGGACATCGTGAACGGCCTGAGGTACGATCACATGACACACACTCGCAGAGCCCATCCTCCCTGAACACAAATGAGTCACAGCGCGCCAATCAAACTTCACAACTGGACACGGCGAGAGAAACACCTCGAGCGAGTGCTGCTTTTTAAGTTTAATGTATTTTTTTTTTCAGTTTACTGCTAAGGAAACATTTAGTTTTTCAACTAATATTGCAGCTTCATTTCAGTTGACAGAACAGTGTTTTGAATAGTTTGGTGTTAGTCGTGGATAATAACCTGATTCTGATTCATTATCTGAATGAACTGGTTCAGAAGAGTCGTTTGATTGTGAATCGGTGTGTGAGAACCGAATAGATGCACGTGTTTTCCTTCTGCGAATCAGAAAATCGACATTTTTACCCACAGTTTCCAAATGAAGTTGAAGTTTCGGGTTTTTTAAAGTCATTTACAAAGTCAGTTTCTGATTCGTTATTCTGGTCGCGAATGGATTAATTAATAATGACGGATTCATCATCTCTTCCTGCTGAGGTTTCCTCATATCTCTCCACTGTTTTCCATTCCTCTGTGTCTGTCTCTCTCTCTCTCTGTCTCTCGGTGTCTCTCTATCATTGTGTTGATGGGCTCCAGATCTATCGAGTCTCTCCCTGATAATCAAAAGTACCGTCAGTTGCAGCGGGAGCTCTCTCAGGTTCTGACCCAGCGTCAGATCTACATTGACTAGGGTCAGAGGCGTGTGTGTGTGTGTGTGTGCCTGCACGACCTCTTTAAACACACTAACTGCATGCAGGTGCATTCTGGGTACATTAATGTGTGAGATGAAGGATAACTCTTCTCAATTCCTCTGTGTATTTCAACATGAGTGTGAAGCGTTCGGCGAGTTGTGTTTAACCCTGATGATTTCTGCAGTGACCGCTCGAGCAATAACACTGAATGTGAACGATATCTGAGGGTTATTTTCGAACTTATTGGAATCGTTAAATTAAAGCGATATGAGTTACACTCATGCGGATGATTCAGTTTGCAATAGAAAAGTGGTGTAAATGTGTGTGTTCCTGTCTAACGTGTGTGTGTGTGTGTTTCAGGAGCGTCCAGACGCTGGCGGATAGGTCGAAGCAGGATGCTCTGAAGAACGACCTGATGATCGCGCTTAGCCAACGCGGCAAACAGCAAAGCTAGAGACCATCTCTCTCTCTCTCTCTCTCCACCTCACTTGTCTCTCTCTCTCTCCGTCTGTGGAAAACAAATGAAAAAGGCTTTTTGTTTTTTTGTTCAATGCACCTGTCTCTCTCTCTCTCTCTGTCTGTCTGTCTCTGGTCTGTAATCATGTAGTATTAAAACAGTGCTGGTTGTTTCTGTCTGGTTGATGACATCACTGTGGGGGCGGAGCTTTTCTCCCGCCAATCAGAAGAACACGTTTTCCAGGAGAGGCGGGATATATAAATATATATAAATATACACACATGTATGTATTATGACCTTTATCATTAATATTGATTTTGCTGTTAATATTAAACGTTTTGTTTGAATCCACACAGTGAGTGTGAGTGTGTATATGTGCGAGTGTGTGTGTTGAATGCGTCATTAACAAAATCAGCAAATATATTCCTCCCGTCTCTCTCTGTCCATCTGGAGGCGTCAGACGATTTCGTTGTTTTCTTCAGGGTGGATTATTATTATGTCAAGTTTATTTTTTTTTCTTTTGGTCTTTTTTTGTTCGTTTTTTGTAAAGCTCAGTTTGTTGTTTTAGGGCCTCCAGCTACAATAAAAACAGCAAAAACGAACTGTGTGTTATGTTTGTTTAAAACGTGTTACTGTAAAATGCTGGTAAACACAAGTTGCTTTGGTGCTCGACAATAATTTTACTCGTACTCTTTTTCACATAGTAAAATCCATAACACGTTAATCAATATTTCATTCCATACATCCATTTCATTTGTTTAGGCTGGAAGATATCCAGTTAATCGGCCGTTTTCTCTCATCTCTCGTCTTCTCTGGAGATCAATTAATCATATTTTAAAGAAATCCTTTAATCCTCAGGAAAAAGAGCGCGAATCTTCTCCGAGCCGTTGCTGGGCAGATTAGGAGACTTTATAAACGGGAAAACTTTAGGTCGAGATACTGTTGTAAACTGTTAATTAAACGATTTGACCCCATATAAATAATTTAGTTATGGCGCGAACTAGTTGCTTCGTTCAGACTTTTCTTTTCCCGCTTCACATCATCAGCAGAACAGCGCCCCCTATCGACGGTCCAATACAAACGCAGCTCACAGGGCACGTGCTGCTATTGATTTAAACGAGTCAGGGCAGTAAATATTAATATTTAACGCATTGGTAGGTATAAACAGTATGTGCCACAGAAACACTCGTTATTTCAACATTATAGATTTGACTTAACTGTGAGGTAAAAAGGGAATAAATAAATGCGCATGCGCTGACATGTTCGGGACAGCAGGAGGCGCCAAGGTGACATCATCAAACATTTCTGGGGGAAAATAATTCATAAAATGTTATTTAAACTACTCATGTGCTCGGTTAATGCACCAGTCACACAAACTCCCACGCGGAGAAGCGAGCGGCTCCTTTCACTGTGACTGATATTTAAAATGTGTTTGTTTATTTAGCCGTTGGTTGCAATTGTCTGTTTAATTTTAAAATTGAGGACTTAGCTAATTATTTTTTAAATTTTGTTGTTGCTGATCAAATCAAAAAACCTAACCAAATCATCAGTAACACAATCGTCAGGTTTTTTTGTTTGTTTACTATTAGCCTAAATTTGTATTAGGCGGTTCAATGGAACGTTAAGAACGTTCATTTTACCGTTTAAATTGTTTTCTTGGTTTGGCGAACTTAAACATTCCTTTTGATCATTTTGCAGTCATATAGGAGACGAAGAACTTTCTGAAAGCAGTAACGGAAGAAAAAAAACAAATAGACAAACGCACGTTCCAATAACGAAATGTTTTAGTGATAACGTTTTGAGAACGAAATAACTGAACGAACGTCTAGCTCTAGCGCGGAGGTCTATAAGAAAAGCGCGAAATTATTATTATTATTAACTATTTACGTTGCTAGAAGAACGTTTGTTCATATTTTGTTAAGTTCCCTGTTAGCTTGATATCACTATTATTTGCCCTTTTATTGCCAACTTGACAGCTGTGTATTTGTTTAGTGCACTTTATTAAATAGTAATACAACATCTTTAATCCTCTTTCAAATATAAAGGGCTGAATCTAATACAATTCTTTATTCAGTAAAATGACTTGATTTTCCTCTCCAGAGCAGATCTTCTGAATAGCATCGGCAGGGTGTCTTGGGGCAGTTTGCCCTTTTAAGATATTGCCCCCACCTCTCTCTCTCTCTCTCTCTCTCTCTCTCTCTCTCTCTCTCTCTCTCTCTCTCTCTCTCCCAGCCCCCCCCACCCCCCCACCCCCGAATCAGGTTTATGTTAATGATCCCCCTCCCCGGATTCACTGGAGGTGTGTGTGTGTGCGTGTGTGACCGCAGTCCGTGGATCAGCATGGAGACTCCACACGCCAACTTTGAAGGGAAAAACTGGATGTAATTCATTCTCCGTGGAAGAGCAGCAGCGAGAAGTAATGAAGTGGGATTTGTTGCTCATTGTTTTCGGGTGGTTTGAACTCCCGTGGCTCGTGGATTGTTTCGATGTGCACGTGAGTGAGGATGCGGGACCGGGCAACGCGATCGCGATCACCGGCTCCTGCGCGCTGGACCAGCTCATCATTCCCCGGTTTGCGGAGAGTTTCCTTCGCCGGGACGCGGGATGGCTCACTTTCTCCGGTGCTTTGAACTGCGAATCGGTTCTTTCGAACCCGTTCACTGTGTACACGATCATGGACTGCGCGGATAACAACGCGTCTGGGTTTAGACACCTTTTAACCAGCCGGTATAATGTGCACGTTCACGGGAAAAACTGCGCGTTTAGGCGCAAACGTGAAAAAGAACTAGACGTGGAGATTATAAGTTTAATAGATGCTTCAGAGTGCCATGAGGCGGACACCGCTGTTTTTCGTGTGTTTGATGTGTTACCCGGCAACCCGACGCAGTGTAACGTAACCGGGACTTCGGCGCTTTATGTCTCCGAGGGTCGTTTGTTTACTTCGGCTCCGCTTTGTTTCCCTCGCGACTCTATGCTAGAGTTTCAACTGCGCTGCGTGGGACGCACGCGTACGGGTGTCGCGCATGCGCACTGGCGCGTGGGTCGCGGTCCGTTCACTCAAACACACCTGAGGACGTTACTTAAACGGGCCGCGCGCTCAAACTCAGGCCTTCTGAGCAGGGGGAGAAGGAACGTAAACAATAACCCTCAGTTTCAACCTCCCATGTATCAAGTGTCTGTTCCAGAGAATCAACCATCCGGGACTTTTGTTGTCGTTTTAAAAGCATTTGACCCGGATGAGGGTGAAGCTGGCAGGCTGGAATACTTCTTAGAGGCCTTGTTTGATAGTCGTTCCAACAATCTTTTCGCTGTTGACCCAGCGAGCGGCATCGTTTCCACCGTGGAGATACTAGATAGAGAAACGAAGGACACGCATGTGTTCAGAGTCACGGCTGTGGATCACGGAACGCCACGTCGCACTGCCATGGCAACGCTCACCGTAACGGTTAGCGATACGAACGATCACGACCCCGTCTTCGAGCAGGAGGACTATAAAGAAAGCGTGCGAGAAAATCTTGAAATCGGTTATGAGGTCCTGACTGTACGTGCCACGGATGGCGACGCTCCCGTCAACGGAAACATCCTTTATCATTTGCTAAACAATGGGACTAACGACGTGTTCGAGATCGATTCCCGCTCCGGCGTTATTCGCACACGAGGCCTAGTTGACCGTGAAACTGTCGAATCCTACATGCTACTGGTTGAAGCGAACGATCAAGGTCGTGACCCCGGGCCTCGTAGTGCTACGGCAACCGTGTGCATCGTCGTGGAGGATGATAACGACAACGCACCACAGTTTAGCGAGAAACGCTATGTCGTTCAAGTTCCCGAAGACTTGACGCCAAACATGGAAATCCTGCAGGTTACGGCGACCGACCAGGACCGCGGGAACAACGCCGTGGTCCATTTTAGCATCATGAGTGGAAACACGCGAGGCCAGTTCTACATTGACGCTCAGACAGGGAAATTAGACCTTGTGAGTCAGCTTGATTACGAGATCAATAAAGAGTACATGCTTCGCATTCGAGCGCAAGATGGTGGACGGCCGCCACTCTCCAACATCAGCGGCCTTGTCACGGTGCAAGTGCTTGACGTTAACGACAACGCTCCAATATTCGTCAGCACTCCGTTCCAGGCTACGGTCCTAGAGAACGTTCCCGTCGGATATTCCGTCATTCACATTCAAGCTATAGACGCCGATGCTGGCGATAACTCCCGTTTGGAATACCGTCTCACAGAGACCACGCCAAACTTCCCGTTCGCCGTCAACAACAGCACAGGCTGGATTATCGTAGCAGCCGAGTTGGATAGAGAAAGCGTGGACTTTTATAACTTCGGAGTGGAGGCGCGCGACCATGGAACGCCACCTATGTCTTCCTCCGCTAGCATTAGCATGACTATTCTAGACGTCAACGACAACAACCCTGAGTTCACGCAGAAGGCGTATTACATGCGTCTAAACGAGGACGCGGCCGTAGGAACGAGTGTCGTAACCGTGTCCGCCGTTGATCAGGATATCAACAGCGTAGTGACGTATCAGATCTCAAGCGGAAACACCAGAAACCGTTTCTCGATTACTAGCCAAAGTGGCGGAGGCTTAATAACGCTCGCGTTACCGCTAGACTACAAGCTGGAGCGACAGTACGTGCTAACCGTCACAGCATCAGACGGCACGCGCTTCGACACAGGGAAGGTTTACGTCAACGTCACAGATGCTAACACTCACAGACCAGTCTTCCAGAGCTCACATTACACCGTCAACATCAACGAGGACCGGGGCGTCGGCACCACAGTGGTGATGATCAGCGCAACAGACGAGGATACGGGTGAAAATGCTCGGATTACGTACTTCATGGACGATAGCATCCCTCAGTTTCACATCGACGCGGACAGTGGAGCCGTAACCACACGGATGGAGCTGGACTATGAGGATCAAGTTTCGTTCACGCTCGCCATCACGGCTCGAGACAACGGCATCCCGCAGAAATCCGACACTACGTACCTTGAGATCCTTGTGAACGACGTGAACGACAACTCGCCTGTGTTCCTGCGGGATCGTTACTTAGGCTCCGTCACAGAAGACATTCCCGTGTTTTCTAGTGTTTTGCAGGTCTCCGCGACCGACCGCGACTCAGGCCTCAACGGGCGAGTCTTCTACACGTTCCAGGGTGGAGAGGACGGCGACGGCGACTTCATCATCGAGTCCACGTCGGGAATCGTCCGTACGCAACGACGGCTTGACCGAGAAAACACGCCTATCTATAACCTCCAAGCGTTTGCGGTTGATAAAGGAGTTCCGGCGCTCAAAACGCTGGTTGACATTCAAGTAACCGTTTTGGATGTGAACGATAACCCGCCTGTGTTCGAGAAAGATGAGTTTGATATCTTCGTGGAGGAGAACAGTCCCATCGGCCTTGTTGTGGCTCACATATCCGCGTCAGACCCGGACGAAGGCAGCAACGCTCAAATCATGTACCAAATTGTCGAAGGCAACATTCCCGAGGTCTTCCAACTGGACATCTTCTCCGGAGAGCTCACCGCTCTGACCGACCTCGACTACGAGACCCGTTCGGAATACGTCATCGTGGTTCAGGCCACATCTGCTCCGCTAGTCAGCAGAGCCACAGTCCACATCAAACTCGTCGACAGGAACGACAACATCCCCGTCCTTAAGAACTTCCAGATTATTTTCAACAATTATGTCACCGATAAGACCAGCAGCTTCCCTTCGGGAGCGATCGGGCGGATCCCGGCGCACGACCCGGACGTCTCGGATCAGCTCCACTACAGCTTTGAGGCGGGAAACGAGCTGAATTTGGTGATTCTGAACCGGAGCACCGGAGAGATCCGACTCAGCCGAGCCCTGGACAACAACAGACCGCTGGAGGCGTCCATGAGGATCTCAGTCTCAGGTAAGAAGCGGTTTCGTTCAGTTCTACACAGGGGCTTTCGCACCGGGTAGTTCTAGGAATTCAGTACCAGCCACCAGGGTGTTGATCCGAGAACTAACGGTTCTCTTAGGAACGTTTACCTGGTTGCGTTCGCACCGCCAGTAGGAACTCTGTAGTGACGTAAGCTATGCTTGTTGTTGTGACTTTTATTTTGACATTGCTTAGAAAGTACACATTGTATGTATACATATAAAGTAGACAGTGATGAAGAGTTATGATCGTATGTCCAGTGTCGCGGAGCAGAAATACATAATCACGTTTCTCTCGGTCTCCTCAAAGTTGCGTTGCATTTTCTCCTCAGTGTAAAGATTAAAAGCTTCATCTATCACTGTTTTACAAGTTCGTAGAGTCAGTATCTGGAGTAAATAGATTAGGGGCTTTCGCACTGAAGGAACCTGTTCATGATACATAGAACTATAGGCGGGAGTTCCCGGATTGGGATAGGCTGATTCTGGATCAGTGAGATCCGTCTGTGTTGTTATTGCCGCAGTCTCTAAAACCCGTCTGAACGGAGGCGGAGTTAAAGCTCATTTGCATTTAAAGGGACACACACAAAAACTGCACATTTTTGCTCACACCCAAGAAGGTGCAAATTTTGTAAGCTATAATAAATGATCTGGGGGAATTTGAGCGGAAATCTCACACACACATTCAGGGGACGTCTGGTGAAGAGGGGCATAATATGTTGAAGTCTATACTTTTTGACAACTCTACATGTATGTGCTTCTCCAGCAGTTTTGTGAGAGGCTTGCGTGACATGAGCATTTGCAGCTCTCGCTGATGTATAATACATGACCTCTGCTCGGCATTAATACATGAGCGAGCGAACGAGTCGCTGCGGGACACAGTGTTGGTTTAGCGGATCTGTCTCCATTTCCTTCAGGTTGTTTGACATTGAAGCAGATCTTCCTCCATTAACCATTAGTCGTGAGTGTGTGTGTGTGTGTGTGTAGCGGTCAGTTCTTCACGTGATTGCGTGACTGCGGCCTCCGGGGAAACACGCTCGACTGGCTTTATATGATTTTTGAGCGTTCTGACGGAAAGATACATTGCAGGCCAATTATTATGAGACAAAACTGCAGAAATATGTCTGTTTAGTTGAGTTTTATAGGTGCTGACAGAAATGATCAAGTCCATTGGAATACGAATAAAACCTCAAATAAATGACTTCTCTTAGCTAACACGAGTTCTCCGAGCAGCATTAGCAACAGTTCTGCTCAATATACTGTAGGTATAAAAGCTGTATGATGGAGCAA